GTTTTGCCATTGCCTTCTTCTGTGTGTGAATGGAGTAATTGTTGGGATGCCACGGAGGAAAACTCCGTGTTGCCTAGACCACGGCCTTGCCCAACACAAGTTATAAATTCGAACCCGAGACCCCAGGATTACAAGGCCAGCGTTCTAACCGCTAGACCACCGTGGCTCTTTTACGATCATTACAAAACAGAATTGTGCAATCGTTTTGAATATCTTTCTAAGCAATTTGTTCCTCTGTGTGGATCACCAGGCTTTCAAAACATTTCCATAAAAATGTTGATCCCAGTGGCCATGCACAGACACTCTGATTATGTTGTGGGTTGAAATCTTATTCAAAGTATCAGCGTTTCAAAATGTGTTTTTGTATATCATGTATCGAGAACAGCAAAGTAAAACTTGTTACAGAAAGTGTATTTATATTTTAAAATGTATATAAAATATTTATAACCAAACTGAACATGATGGTTATTTCGGATGTAAGTGGAGCCATCGTGGAAATGTTCCTCGCCAGCCTGCCATTGGTTGTTTAGAGAGAAGAAAGGCACCAGAATCTTCTTTGCTTGGGTGACTGCCACCATGACCCACTCTCATGAAATACTTCTCGTGAGTTGCTCTTTGCATAATCACTGGCAGTCAGGAAAAAAAGTAGCGGGTCCTACGCTACTGTCAAGCTGCTACTTTATGCACCTGCCATGAGAATAATTGTCCATGCAGATGAGTATAGGCCTTTGCAGCTCCAGGGGACTTGCAGATCATATCATAGCCCCCAGTCGGCAGTAATATGTTACTGTGGCACAGCCAGGCCAATGGTCGCTTGGCAGTGGGAGTGTCTACACTGCCTGAGTACCCCCATCATGGCAATTTGTGGGTGTATGTGAGTTATGATCTGGGCTAGACTTGCATATAAGGGCAGTGAGAGAGCATACAGCCTTCATTTCTGAGTTTTCTGTGTAGACGTACAAGTCGGAAGTTGCGCCAAAACCACGCGACAGGAACACGGAGATAAAAATATCCCTACTGGCGAGGCAGTCGATTCGTAAATTTGATGTACCTTAAAACTAAGAAATACATAAACCAAGGAGAATTACTGTTGTGCAAAAACAGACTTGGAAAATCCAGATGAAAGCAATCCCACTACACGCCATGTCGGTTGCTTGGGGGGAGAGGATGTATAGATCCTACTTATTCTTGACCTCAGCACTAAATGGGGGTGAGTGGTCAGCATCACTCCCCACTAAAAGACTCTGGTACCCCAGAGCCAGTCTGGACGCAAAGGCTATAGGAAAAATCCTTTTCCCTCGGGGATCGAACCCCGGTCGCCCAGTCCGTGGGTGGGCACTATATTAACTGCGCTGTCCCGGCTCCTGAATATGAATTAATTAAGGTAATGACATGGTAAGTGTTCAACATGCAAAGAGACAATTACAGAAATGGCAAGATTTTAATGTTAAAGTGAAAGTCGAGGCAATGGGAAAGAAAACTTGATAGCTCCCTTTGCATCCCCACAATCAAAACGTGGACCAACCTACCTCAGTGGGTTGTCGTGCCGTGGTGATTGTAGAATTGTAAAATCCTGGATAAGAGCATGGGTTTGAGTTTACGCACATTTTATCTCTGGGAAAGTTGTAACAGGAAATGTAGTTTCAGATGTAACATATTATTTGAGAGTGTAAATTAAATAGGAATCTTAATGTTTCTAATAAATTTGAATCCTTTTTAGTCTTGAAATGAATCCATCAACAGCGAGTGCTTTTTATTATTTGCCTTGTACATCCTTACAATTATACTTCTATTCTACAGGATGTTATAAACTACAACTGTCGCTCCCTTGTAGCGTCTGTGCCATTCTTTGCCAATGCTGATACAAATTTTGTGTCTGATGTGGTAACAAAACTGCGCTATGAAGTCTTCCAGCCAGGTAAGAAGTCTCTCTGTTATATCAACCACATGTTGATTTTGTTTACAACAAACTGTCATAAAAGATAAAATTTGATGCTTTTATGGCAGTGAAATTGGTTATGTTTCCATGTAGTCTTTTGAATAAAAATCTTCTTGGATATTATCCATCATCTAGTCAATAAAGTATAAAACATATATTTTATTGACTAGACGATGGATAATATCCAAGAAGATTTTTATTCAAATGACTCATCACCATCGTCAAGAACTTTTAGATTTGATATTCTGTGTAGTCTCTTAGGTGGTTACTTAATCTTAAGAAAATGTGCCACCTCCATCTTCAACTCTATGCATTCTTAACCTCGGCTCTAGACGGAGGTGAGCGGTCGACTTCAAGCATACAAAATGTTACTCTGAAAACCTGAAAGGAAGAGATTAGGTGGGAGAATAATATTAATATAGATCTTAAAGAAATAGAATTCATGAACTGGATTCAACTGGCTCAGGATAGGGACCAATTGCAGTCTGGTGTAAACATAATAATGATCCTCTAAGTTTAAAAAAATGCATTTAATGTGACTGATTACCTCAGTGAATATCGACTTCATGTAATTAGTTGTCATTTAATGTGACTGATTTCCTCGGTGAATATCGACTTCATGTAATTAGTTGGACTGTAAATCAGTCAGTCTTAACTCTTGTTTGTGTATTTGTACTGATGAATGTTTATGTACCAAATACAGCACCAGCAATGATCTGTTTCAGGAGACATCATCATCAAAGAGGGTACGATTGGCAACAAAATGTATTTCATTCAAGAAGGCATCGTTGATATTGTAATGGCCAATGGAGAAGTCGCCACGAGTCTCAGTGACGGCTCATACTTTGGTGAGATTTGTCTGTTGACAAACGCTCGCCGAGTCGCAAGTGTGCGTGCTGAAACATATTGCAATCTCTTCTCCCTATCTGTAGAGCATTTTAATGTGGTGTTGGATCAGTATCCGCTTATGCGTCGGACCATGGAGAGCGTCGCGGCTGAAAGGTAAGTTTATGAGAACACGATCGGGTCTAACCGAGAAAAACTGATAATGAATTATGGTGATTCATATGCAGAATTTTACCAAGTGAAACACATATGAGACATGTATTATATGAAACTTATGTCAGGAAACATTTATAAAATAGGAAACAATATATTCCAGACAATGAAAGTTATTGTATTGTGTACATGACAGGCATAAATTACTTAAAAATATATGCAAGCAGTCTAAAAAAACAAAGCATATTTCAGTTTATGCAACAATCAGGTGAATGACCCATTCAACGTATTTTTTTTTAAAAAAAATAATCGCATTTCTCTATTTTTGAATGCATTCCTGTTATGACCATGTTAAAATTAACCTACTCTACGCGATTTTGATTTATGCAGCGATTTCAAAGAACCCATTAATAGCGTATAAAAAGGGATACCTGTACGTGATGGAGGCAATGGAAAATATAAACAGTGTGTTTTGAATCTAAAACCAAAGGTTAAATTATTAAAAGCAAAATGGTGTGAGACGACACTTTTTCTCGTAAATCACTGTTAAAGACTAGGAATTTACTAGGGTTGAATGGTGCAAAAATCTTAGATTTTAGTGTTTATGTTGCAGGAAGTTTGTTGATTTTTATCCTACAGTTACAGTAAAGAACAGTAAGTTATCTGCCAAGACTCTCAGAAATATTCAAGTGTGTCCGAGAAAAAGGGAAATTCTGGGAACACTGCTGTACAGAACCCCAGGGCTGCATTACTGTAGCCAGAACCTTTGCACAGTCAGATTAAATGTTCTTCTTATATGGCTCTCCGGTCCGTATTTGGTCCATGGCCTCCTCAATTCACATCTTCCTTTTTACGGTGCAAGGTTGTTAGCCTTGCGACCAACCCCCAACCTGGATGCCCAGGGTACCTGTCTTAGTCTGACCTCTCCCCCTCGACCAATCTGACTAGGGAGGCCGTACCAGTAGCTCTTGGGGTTACTGAGGTACTCGAGCCCCACTACCACGACAAGGTGCAGGTACCATTAAGTAGGGCAGATTAAATGTTGCTGTTAAAATTCTATTCAGAAGACTTTGTTAAATTTTGATTGGCACTAAATATCCTGAATTGGTTTAAGAAGTTTCAAAAAAGAGCTTTGATACTTCATACCTTTGCAAGTTACGGTTATCTTTAATAGTGGTTATGAAAATCAAGCAGTGAATTCATCTATCACTGGAAAATTAGTTGTTTTGTGTGTTTCCATTAAAAAAAACACAGATTGATAGGTTAATAAATGCAAAACAAGTTCAGATTTCACACCAAAACAATTACATCATTTGGTACCTTGCAGGTTTTAAATATTACTTGTAATCAATTGCAATAAAAATATTTTAAATTATAAAAAACATACCTCTCCTTGATACTACCAAATTTGTTGGACTGGGATGTATTATTATCTCGAAAAAAACATTTGTGTTGACTCCCACCACCCCCCAAAAAAATGTTCTTCATGACCTCGTGGGGTGTTAACTACTAGCCTAGTTTAAAAAAAAATAAATGTTTCCATCTTCACAGTGACTGAAGTAAGTTGATGTAGTCACTTTTATGTGTAAACTGTATTCAGCTAGGTTAAGTTTTGGCAAGAAATGGAGATTTATATGCATTAAGAACAAGTATGACGCATTTCTGTAGGGTCAGTATTTATCTACAGTGACTAGTAAACATATCTTTTGAGACGAAACAAACACACACAAAAATTGACTTTACACTGAAACAGTGATTTTGACGAATGTACGAGGCGCGTCCTCAAAGTAAGTTTCCCTGGGGCCGTTTACAGAAACAAAACACAATTTCATGGAAATATTTATTGCAACAGATACAGCAAGTGTCCAGCTATTTTTCAACATATTCGCCACCGGAATTGAGACATTTGTCATACCATGGGACCAACTTTTGAATACCTGTGTCGTAGAAGTCGCCCGCCTGGGATTGGAACCACTGTGTGACAACCATCTCCGCCTCTCTGTCATTCTCAAAACGCTGACGCTGACCGGACAGGAATTTCTTGAGGTGTAGGAAAAGATGGAAATCACTGGGAGCGAGGTCCGGGCTGTAGGGTGAATGATTAAACACCTCCCAGCTGAACTTCTGCAGGAGACTTGCTGTCCGTCGAGCCGTGTGCGGCTTAGCGTTATCACTGACCGCACTTCACAGTCGGCGGGGGCTGGAATAAGAACCTCCATCTTCAACAGCTGCAACGATGCTACTGTGAGAACGCGGGAGGTGCCGTTAGTGCATGCGCCATGCTACGTCATTGCTCTATCACGTACGCACAGTCGCTTCGCGCAATATAAGGTTTGCTAGCTGTGGGACGAGTGGGAAACTTACTTTGAGGACGCGCCTCGTAGTAACAATTTAATAAAAGTGTGAATGTGAAGTGTTACTGTACTTGTACCAGTAAAGGTTACTCATCGTAGTGTCACTATTTACTTGACTAGGTTAATACTCTTATCTTGCAGCCCAGATTCCTAATTGTTTTCCGAAGGGCTATTTCTTGGTGGTATCATGTGGTCAAAGAGTAGATCTTGGTAAAATCTGGGACAATTTGACAAGATTCAGCACGATCTTACGAATCTATAGGAATCTTGCCAAATGCCATGCAAGAAATTGCGTGTCTGTCCTGGATCTTCCAAGATCCAGCTAAGACGTCTCAGTAGGATCGCTTGTTGGTACTGTTCCAGACTGAATAAAATCGGGAAGAACCCGAACCTCGTATCCCACCGCGAGGAGGACATGGGTAGCGAGAGCAAGACCATCAATGCCGTGGTAAACGCTCTGGCCGAGCAGGCGGACCAGGTGAACACGTCCGAGGAGTCCATGGGCAATCAGTCTAGTGACAAGAGCATTCACGAGCTGGGGCGTAACCTGCACGAACTGGGCAAGACGCTTCACAGGCTAAACCTGCCGAGGCCCAAGTCGGAGAACAACTTCGCGTCCCAGGAGCAGTTGCCGATGAATATCACCAGCCGGCCCATGTTCCACAAGTCTGAAACATTTCACAGGGACACCGCTTTTCAATGACACCATTGAATAGTGTATTTTGTTATTGTTGTTGCCGCCGCCGCCGCCGCGCTACAGTGAGAGACGCCGCAAACTTTTGGTAAATCGATTTTGTATTCAAATAATATAATATGCTGAAGTCCACATTTACTGATGATGATTCGGTGCAAATTCTCATCGTCAGAATTTGCTGGATCTCGCGCGTCTTCTGCTTGTACCGGACGAAGAGCACGAATGTTGTTGTTCCGGTGTTCGAGGGATCCGGCATCACATTGTTTTGTTGATAGTGAGAGTAACTGACTCACGTACAAGAGGAAGCTAGAAATGTGCAATATTAGAATAAAAAAATAATATAGCTTTAAAACTAGGGTGCTCAATAAATATAGGGAGCTGCGTTTTTACACCCAGTCTGCGTCACAGTATGTGTGGTGTAATAGAGTATTTTATTAGTTTACACATCTAGATAATTAAATAGGCCTAAATGTAAAATAATATATATATATATATATGTACAACATTAAGGGCAGGACCATTATCTACTTATAGTACACAGAGTCGGGTTGAGAAGGTTCTATATTTGTTCGTAGCTATTTTCAAACGGGCGAACATTAATTATAAAATTCAGAAGAGGCTTTTTCATACAAGCTCTGTAATTGTGATTATAAAAATCCAGGAACTTTTTCTTATTACTATATTCTCATCTGTTTCGTTGCTGTTTTTCGTCTTTACCGGTAAATCTGACTGACTTAACCGCGTTACATTTCTTTATGCTGTTTCTGATACGAAGGTCTTAACCGCATTACTCGTTTCTAAAATGCGATGATGATGATGATGATGATGATGATTTAGTTTTTGTAGATCTCTTATCCCAGGTCGAATGAGACAAAAGATAGGCGTTATGTATGTATCTATAGTACTAACATGTCCTCCTCAGCGATGTGACGTTTATGTTGGAATAGATTCAAACGTAGTGCTGATATTTTGTACCAAAAGTGCTCATAATTGTTGTAATGTAAGCGAATGATCGGTGGAGAGCGAAGTGACCATCTAGGGGTGCCGATCGAAGAGCGGAAAACACTCCCCATAGAACGAAATCTTAGCCGTGATCCAAGTTGGTAGCTGCTGAAATCTTCCCTCTCACAAACTGTATACCGCTCCTTCATTTCTCCGGAGATGCATTATTGCCGTTATTTTTGTATTTCCAGTTGAGTTGCAGCAAAGCACAAGTCAAATTCAGAAGTTACTTCTGCTGAAGTCTTGATTCCGCTATGCCCAAGCTGCTTCCCCACGATAACTAGGCACTAAGGAATTGTTGTAGAGTTTTATATCTCAGACACGAAAGTTCGTATAAGAGCTGCTTTACGCCACGGTTCGAACACTGGATCTTACTTTAGTTTCAGTTAAAATGGTGTAATTGTTTTTTGTTTTTTTGATTACAAGATGTCGAACTAGAGCTGTGACTCATACAATGAACAAAGAAGAAGAGACTTTAAAGAGAAATGGAAAGTGTGATAATATTAAAAGTGATACTATTAAGAATAGAACATTTACCAGGATGGAAATAATACAAGAATGTGAGATTTCACGTTCTCGCAGCGGTGAATATGAAGATGTCCGTCTGCTGGGAAGTTGCGCCATGTAGTCTGGTAGATGCTCGATATTTCAGAGGTGTTTTCTGTCTCCATCATCAGGGTGATCATTATAATCCTGGTGATGTAGTCGGCAAGCACCAGTAAAGTTCTACCAGATTACACAGCGCAACGATCAAGAACACGGCCATCTTAATACAAGATTCGGCCCAAGGCAAGCCGGTTAATATTTTAGGACCTAATTTTGAAGTCCTCAACCAAAATTTGCCGACTGCATGCGATGAAAGAAGATTGTGTACAGACAGGCAAATTTTCAAAGACAGAACTTAACAGATGTTGTTCACTCAAGCATTATGAATCATAAGTTCTATATAATAATGTCGTCACTCATTTTAAATTCCATTAATGATAATACACATATGTTGCATAAAATATACCCAACGTACTGCTGTCTTGTTGCAATCAGTAATGACACAGAAACTGTTTAGTCCTGGAAGAACTCAAAAGGTACGACGAGAAGTGGCCATCCAGTAGTTGTTTTATTATCCGAGAGGTTTTTATTAATGAATTGTCTGGCTGTTTAAATGGAACCATGTTTAACCGCTTAAAGCCTTGTACTGTTAGAAACTTTGTTTATGAATTGGGACCCAAAGAAAATAATGTTTAGCGGTCACATACCAGTTACATTTATTCAATTCATTTGAGTTTTTGACGTAAATACGTCTATACGGAAGGGTCATTCGGCAAAAACAGCTTTACGAAGATGTGTCATCTGTTTATTCGGCATTGTTGCGTTTCATTACTGCCGTCAACAATCCGCTTTCGTTATTGCGGAAAGAGCTGAGCTGTAAACGTTTTAGAATATCACAATTACTTATATAAGAATTATTAAGAAATCTTGGTCATTGCGGGTGGACATCGTGGTCTCTTACAATTGAACAAAGTTTGAGGTTAGGGATTCCTATTTATTATTATTGTTCATCACATTAAGCGCCCGGAAGAGATGGATCTGGACATATTGCGTACGAAATACGTATTACCTCTTGAGCTTTCCATATCTGTTTTCAGATTTTACGTATCTCAAATGGTTTAGGTTCTACAAACATTTATTTATACAAACAAAGGCGCATCGCACTTCACGTTACTACTGCGTCTGCGCGTTGCGTCATACTACGTAGAGATAACAAGATGGCTGACCTTGAAGCTAAAAGAGACCAATGATGATAATTTAAATACAAAGACGTATTTACGTCAGATTCTCCAGAACCGTGGTTCGACTGTCAATTTTTTTTTTTAAATTTTGCATTATATTATTTTGGTGCACAAAAACAATAGCTTTATGTTGAAAATAACATCACATATTCCTAAATATTATCAGTTGACAAGACAACTTAATCAGTTACTCATTCATAGCAATAACAGTGACACCAATGTATGTTTTTATTGTGGAGTTGAATTTATTACGACTGTGGCCCCATTGTTGTTGAAAGTCGTCTCTGCATTCAGCATTGTTGCCCTTTGTATGCTTTCCACGTTAAGAAGTTCAACAAATCATTTTAAAGCCGCAATTGAGGTTATGTGCAGTGCAGGACAGAATAACAATTTGTTGTTTTTTCGTTGTAACGTTTTTGTCAGGAACTCGGTGAATGTCATTGTTGTCGTAACATTGGTGTAATCATTTTTACTCAAGAATTGTATATTTTTAATATTTGCACCAATTTTGTTCTGGCGGGGATTAGGTTTGGAGTAAATTTTATGTATACTTTTAGTTTTTAATATTATTTCTGGAACAGGAAAATTGAAATTTGTAATTTGTCTTATTTTCTTAATGTTTTCAGGAAGTTTTTTTTTTCCGTATATTTTGGAATTTTTAGTTTAACAAGTTCTTTGTATTGTAGGCCATATGTTTGGTATTTTTAAAATTTTGTGAAATTTTTATTACATGAATCACTGCTATGGGGAAATTCTTATCCTAATAGAGATATTTTAGTTCTGTCGTCACCTCTGCATCCATAATGACTCTTGGATCCACCCATGGGTACTGGGAACTCATTTTTGGGGAGAAACTGCCCCAAGCATGAAGCTTATCACTCTCCTCCACTTTCACCTGCATTAGTTTTGCTTAGTGAATATCAATGTATTTATTTAACTATTTATTTGTTTATTTATTTGTGTTTTTATCACAATCAGGCACAGACATGAGAGAAGGGAAAATATTTTAAACAAAGTAAAGGTAGCCCTCGATTTGCGCCGATTCAGAATAACGCCAATTTTGAAACCAAAAAGTAAAAAAAAAATATTTTACTATTATTTATAACGTTTTACAATGTTTCTCGTACTGATTCTTATACTAAATCGTAATTCTTACATCGCT